AGCCAGCCCTGTGCTGGATCTCAGGTCCAAGGAAAGCAATTTGCTTTGGAGTTTTGCAGGGATAACAACTGCTGGGTCAAGCTTCCTATGGCGCTCGTGTCAGGAAGCACAGGGCAGTCAGCTGGAGGTGAGGATGCCTTGCTTCACCTTTTTATCAGGAAGCCTAAAAACACTACATGGAGAGATCACCACCAGGATGTCGGGGATGCTCAAAAGCCAAACTCTTTGCCTCCCCATGCATGGTGGTAACATGTGGTCCCCTCCCAATACACACACTTGACTTAACCCAGTGCTATAGCTACCACGCAGTCATTGTCCCACACCCTTCAGGACAACCACTGGTTTGGAAGCTGGAAAAACTGAGGCACAGGAGCTGCGTCACAACCTACCTAGTGACAAGAAGAGCTGAGCTGCTCCCCATCCTCTGGCTTTTGGGCAAGTTGAGGCTGCTGCTTGTTGCCTGCTGGGTTTGATTCAATTTAATCACATCCTGCCTACAGGAATTGCTGAGAGGGCATGGCTGCCCCTCTAGATAAGGAACAGCCTGTTGGGATTTGGGGCACTTTAGCTAAATCTTACAGCCTTTACTCAAGCAAACCCTCAGCTGAGAAGCATTCCTATTCTGCAGCCTTAATGGGCTTATTTAAGATTAACAAGACCCGCTGAGTCAGCAAGGGAACACAGGGGGCTTTCCCCCATCCTCTTCAAACAAGCTGTATCCATTCCCAGGGCCTTGCAAGCTTTGACTTGGATCCAGCCGATGGCACAGGAGCTGTGGCTGACTAATCTGAAGCTGCTACTGTAAAATGCTGCTGTAGGCTCTGGCTCTAGCAAGGAAGGGCGTGAGGGGTTCCTGACTGCCTTGGACATCTCCCCACAGCACTGACCACACATCAACGGAGGGACCTGAAAATGGCAGGGCTGAGGACAAGAGTTCTGCAAGGCAGATGCCCTGGTCTCCCATTATCGCTGCTTCTTTTAAAAGCAACAATTGTGCGCAAGGAGGAGGAGGTCACATGAAGGATGCTTGAAATTCTTTCCAAACCACAGCCGTTTCTGACCCATCACAGATTTCCCCGCTCGCTCTGGCCTGTGAACTCTGGAAAATGCAATTAAAAGAGAAAAAGCAGAGGCCTGAAACCTCCGATTCAGACGGGCTCTTTGACATTCATTAATCAGCCCATCCTTACACGATGCTGATTCAATAGCAGCGACTGGCTGCTTCCAGCCCCAGGTCATCAAGAGTTCAGCAGCCCTCCCTTCCGACAGAAACCCGCCCAAAATCCACGTTGCCTTCCCAGAAGTTAAGGGAGCAGCTTGTTTTAATGCAACTGAGACACTTGCTGCACTCACAATGGAGATCAGCAGCACTTCATATATGTGCTTTTATATATAGGATGTACTTGCACATATAGCTTCCCCCTTATAGCATCTTCTTTCTCTAGCTGAATGGAGGGGAGTGAATAGCATTGGCAAGTTTGCAGGTTGGGCTGATGATGGGTCTGGGCAAGAGGAGATGGAGGGGTCTGGGGTATGAAAGGCTTTGGCGTGTTCAGACCTGGACACAAAACCATAGTTAAAATGCCGCAAAATGAAATTGAGCCCTTGGCCCGAAGCAGAGGAGCTGCAGCTGGGAATAGGTGGGTTTTAATCCAAGCAGCCCACCCATTCCGGGGCATTAGCCACTTTCCCCAGTAAATCCATCCCCTACCTGTTTGGTCCCCATGTCACCCTGCGGCGTGAGAGGCTGCTGCTGCAGGTCATGCCACACAAAGCTCACCACCTGATCCCCAAGGTAACATTATCACCCTCTGTTTAATACCATTAAGCAGAGCTACCTGCATGGAGCCATCTGTGTAAGGGGAGAACTTCCTGTGGCCACACACCAGGGTGTCTGCTTCCAGCCTGGATCCACCACCAGGCAGGATGGCAATGAACATCTTGCTGCTCCAGAATGGGGGTGCTGGTGCTGGTGCTGGTGAAGCCAAATGGAGCCCATCTGGCCAGGGTCTGCAGAGGGCATTGGTGATGCAGAGGGTGATGCGCCTCTCCCTGTAGCCATGGAATGATACCCAGACTTGCTTGCTGCTGGAAGATGGACACAGTACAGCTGGGATGAGACCCAGCATCTAACCCTGATACATGGTTTCCACAACAGAGAAATGCTGAAGCCTGACAATTAGAACCAACAGCAATACCGCTTCCTCCAAGATTTAGCCCAGTCCAAGGCTAAAATGTTGTGGGAAGGATTTATTTTTACATTCTCCACCATACCACAATTATAGAGCTTTTAAAAACCACCTTCCCCCCCAAAAAAAAACCCTGAACATTTCCATACATCTCTGTATTTCAAAGCACAGAATTAAGAGAAAACTGTCACAAAGTTGAAGAATAGAAACTTGCTCATCTTGGAGCCCAGTGGCTTCTACCCCAAGCTCTCACAGCAGATTTAAAGGGGATTAAGCAACAACCTCCACTTTACAGGGAGGGGAACCAAATCATACTTTGGATAAGCATCTGAAAGCCACTCAAGCAATGTCAATAGCAGCATTGGAAAAGCCATCTACATCTCCTGACTTCCACAGGTTTGCCACCCTGGGATTCACCGAGGAAAACAGACCTCAAACCAGTCAGGAGGGAATGCAGAAAGTGAAAATGAGATGCCAATTAAAAAGGTGCTAAATTGTACCCACCAGAACATGCAGTTAAAGCAATCAAATGGCAGAAATGAATAGTGGTTTTGCTGGCAGATTCCTCCCCATGACCTGCACATGATAAAAGGCAGCATGAAGGGCTCCCCTACCTGGGGAGCAGGAGGTGCTGTCAGTGTTACCCAGGCCTGCGTGGAGGAGGCTGGGTGGGCTAAGATGCTGCGTCAAGGGTAGGGCTGAGATTGAGGGATCTTAGTTTGCTTGTTCTGTTCTTTGTTAAAGTGCTGTGTTCAGAACCCAGTTGAAGCACTTTATCTGCAGGAAGTGATTTTCATCCCCAGCCCAATGGAGAACAAACACATTACCTGTGGGGATGGGGAATTATGCAAGCACAGGCAGAAAACTCATGGTGGCTATTAGAGACAGACATCTGTCTGTAACTCAGGTTATGGCTTCCCCACCTCACAGCATTTCTCCACGTATAGACTCATAGAATCATAGGTTGGAAGGGACTTCAAGGATCATCTGGTCCCGCATTTCTAGGCAAAGTCTAGACTAAGTCTTCAAAGCATCCTTAAAAGGGGTGCCCTGCATTGCAAGAAACACCAGTGTGTATTTGGAAGAGATTTCTCAAGCTACTGGAGGGCTATTGGGGCAGGAGTGGCAGGGAGGAAGGCTACAAGCCTCCAGGAGCTCAGGTTTTGGTTATTCAGGCCCATGGAAAGTGACTTTCTAGAAACACATCACTCTTTGGATGCTCAGCATTGGCTGCCTGTCCAGCCCTGTAATTTGTCTGCCCTAGGAAAGATCAACACCAGGACCAGCCAGCATTTGCCACCGCAGGGGCAGTGTACCATGGCTTCAGAGGGCAGCAGCACCATGGGGAAGCATCACTCGACACACACACCCCTCCAGGGGTACGGTACGTAGCTGGGACTGTAAAAAACAAAGAAATAACCCAACAATTCTAAAGCACACCATAATATTTCATTTACATCAGCTTGGCTTGTTTGGGTTTTTTTTAAACACATTTCTGTCTACAGCTGTAATTGGATTTGCTGGGCCTAAGAGCCGAGTGCCAATTGTGTTTCCATGGAGAAAACAGTAGGTCCAGCTCATTCTCATGTGTACTCTTATCTCCAGATCCCTCAGAAGCACTGCCTTTGCCGCTGCCTGAGAAGTACCCTCTCAAAAAGGACAGGAGTCCAGGGAAATAGTCAGGAATGCAGAGAAATAATCAGGAATACAGAGAAATAATCAGGAACACGGGGACATGGTGTGCTCACAGCATCCATCACAGCCTTATACATGGGTTTGAGGCGTTTCCTTCGCAAGCCCTGCCAGGAGCAGACAACGCAGTGTTCCAAAAAGTGGAGCATCCTGTGGAGACCAAGCTTCTGTGGTTCCACTTGAGCCCCTCTTCAGCACCAAAAGTACCTTACGCAGTAGAAAATGCAAAGCAGGGGTTCACGGGAGCTGACATCAGGGAGTTTACACTCCTTTCTCCTTGGTCCAGGCACTTTGACTCTCCCTGCTGTTGGAATTAGTGGAAAATGCATGCTGCAACCTCCACACACTTAACGTATCACTTCAGACCCACTGTGTGCACTTTCATGCGCAGCATCAAACAAGTGAAACTGCCCTTCATCTTCAAGGTGGGGCTTCCAGAAACCCACAGCCAGGCCCACTCCCATCTTTTGCACCTCATTGTTAACAAAACCAGACTTTGGGAATCGCAATGGGTCTGCTCTGCACCTCAGGAAGCTGCTCTTCACTGACCCCATGCTCCTGAGAGCATCATGTGGTACCCACGAGGCTCAGACTCTTTCCCACATGGAGCAGGGCTGGCAAAGCCAGTGCAGTCTGCTTAGAGCTAAGTGGCTTTAGGCAGTGACCTCCCTCTATGTTAGACATCCCTCAACTCCCAGCTTCCTTGGGATACCCTGGCAAAGCTTCTTCAGGAGCACCAATCTGTAATCTATGGCCATTTAACTTTCGACTGAGAGCTGCTGATAACTCCACATTCACCAGACCCCAAAAGGCAAAGTTTGGTGGCTGTGGCACAGCAGGAGGATAAGGCACCCCCCTGCTCATGCCAACACATTCTCCAGGGTGATTTGTCTGGGGTTTGTCCAAAGCCACATCATGGTGGTGGTCCCACAGCCTTGGCCATCCTGCCTCTCCTTTCACTGGCATTCACTGCCTCCTGAGCCACCTTTGCAGCCTGGCTGTGTACCCGCTGCTATGAACACCAGGCAAAGGGTGTAATCAATGGTAAGCAGGCTGCATTGTAATTACCCCTTATATAACGCAAACGTGACTGTATTAATAAGCCTTGCAAGACATGCGACCGTCTTACACAACTGTAATTACTCAGGGAGCTCAGCATTTTCCATTGTCCTACAGTTTGCTTTATCTTTTATTATCTTGCTGGGCTGCCAGGCCCTGCAACACAAAGAGAAATGCTTTCTGCAGCTTCACCCGAGCCAGGCGACTGAAAGCTTTGTACCTGCTCCAAAACCATCATGTTTCCCTCCCTTGATTTCCTCAGAGCAGAAAGCCAAAACATACCCAAACACTTGTCATTATTAGTAACTGCATATGCACAGGGTGGCTTCCCCTCAAAGAAAAACACCCCACCTTTGTGTTGAAAGGGTTATTTCCAAGGAGCTATCTATATTACAGCAATAAAAGATGAGACTAATAGGTGCTTGACACATTGCATGGGGCCAGACTCAGCAAAGCACTTAAGAAAGTGAATAAAGCTCTTAAGCACATTTTCCCATTGACTGGAGCTTACCTTTTATTAAGCACTGGACACAAGCATATGGGTGCTTGCATAAAGGGGAATTAGGCTCTGACGTGACATCCTGGATCAATCAGATTTTTCCAGTGGCTTCAGCAGTAGCAGGAAAAGTGGCTACTCATCAGCCTCTACTGGAAGTTGCCCTCATTCCATGGTGATTGGCATGCTAAAAAGCCTCCGTGGGGCAAGAAGCAGAGCTCCTACGTCCTCCTGCACTCCATACCATCAACAGTACTCAGGGTTCCTTAAGTTTCTTTGTCCTCTGGGTCCTGGAGGGTAAAATTTGCTCCATTTCCTTCTCAGGTCCCCAGTACAAAGTCATGACAGGCAATTTCATGTGATTTTTTGTGAGTCTTCCTGGGGTCTGCTCTAACACAGGTCTGCTGAGATAGCAGACATATAACATAATAAAGAATATAAATAATAATATAACAATATAAAAATACACTGATGCTTCATCACATTTTTACAAAGCATTCAAGTGGTCACCAAAACTCTGTGGGTCATATTTACTTTGCAAGTTTTGTGCTGAGAAGAAAAGAAGGAAAATACAACAAATAAGGAACCCCTCTCAAGGGGGGCCTTCCAGTGCTGCTTGACCCTTAGGCCCAGCCTCCTGCTGCTGTGGATGTGGACAGAGATCCATAGGGAGACCTCAAGCCTGTAAATATATCCAGACTCCCAGACCCACTGATGAATGGACACCCTTGAATTTCCCCCAACCCCTCCCTTAGAAGTCTCCTTCAGGAACTGTTTTGCATAGATACCATTAAAATAAGGTCCCAGCTGGCAAAATGATCATAGGAAAACTAAAACATTACTTCTATGGGCCTGATTCTGACAGTGGCTTGCATCAGCCCCATAGATTTCATCAGTGTCACTACTGATGACTATCTGCAGAATTGCAACCACAACCAAAGCTAAAAAGAGATAAATACTGAGAAGAAAAATTCATTATTTAAAGCATTTGTGGATGCTCCCCCCCACCCCACCCCACGAGCACGTACAATTATGTACAATTAGCTCTCCTAAGGTCCCTACTGGGGATCATTTCATTAAATACTAGCTCGATGCTGAGTTACAGAAGGGAGTCTATAAAATATTACAAGGCATGTTAAGTGATGCTTGAAAATAAACTAGGTCAGTTGGGGAATTGGGATCTCTGTTCTCTGGAAGGTCACACACCTCTCCCCTCAAGGGATGTACCAAGCACAGATATGTAGGAGCTGCCAGGCTGTCGGTCCTTTTCCTTCTCCATCTTGGCCTGCAATCAGCACTGCCAGATGTTTCACTGCACATCCCCTCCACCCAAATAGTTTCTTTAAACAAGTTTTGGCATTATGCACTTTTCTGCCTCTTTTAGTGTTTTAGAGTTCAGTGTGGTACAAGTAGGAGAGGAAGTCAGGGAAGAAGTTCTAGGGAAGATCCTTACATCTGCATTCAGAAGAGTTTTTACCCTGGAACTAGAACATATCATCTGTGTCCTGGTGCATATGGTTGCCAAAAGGCACAGTAAAATTGAGAAGAGGACAGAACCAGGCCACAAAAGCAGATTGAGAGCTAGAGAAATCACTGCTAGGGAGGCACCCGAAGAGCCATCTATCTTGTTGAGACAGTGGATTCAGTTACAGTGCATGAGCACATAAGTCCAGGCACTAAAAGGCTCCATCATCAGAAAAAGGGAGAACATAAAGTAAAATGTGTAGGCTGAAGCTGGACAAACTAAGAAAGAAAGACATGAACAGTGCAAACTTGAGAGTCAAACACCAAAGGAAACAGCAGTCTCCATCTTTTGAGATGGTCAAAGCCAGTTTGGATAGAGGCCTGGAAGATACATTTATAGCCAAAAACCAAGCTAACAGACTTAGTGTGTGGTTGCAGGGCCACAAACAAGGGGAAGGTAGGACTGTCCATGTCTCCTCACCTTGTGCTCTGTGTGTGGCAAGGAAGACTCAAGGGAGTTGGTTTAGCACAAATCACTGCCCCAAAATGCATCTATCTGTTTGTAAAGCCTGCAGTGCTGTAGAAGCCACCTACAGCAGCTGTCAAGAGAAGACTGATTTCATGGATAAGGGTGTTGAAAGAAAACAGAAACACCCCCAAGAATGCGTCATGGAACAAGAAGGGTCATCCACACCTCCCACAATGTGGCAAGGGTGTGGGACAGCCAGGTTTCCCCTCCTTCACGCAGGAGAGGAAAGCAGGTTTTCTAAGGGGTTGCTTTAGCTATAAAGCTTCAGCAGTGCTGGTGGTTAGTAGCAGGATGAAGGGCTGGGTGAAGTGTCCTGGTTAGTTACATGTGCCCCGTGCCTTGACATGCTCACCTGCAGCATCTGAATACCATTCACCTGCCTCCCAGGATACTGGGAGCCTTCACGAACTTCATCATAATCCTCTGCTTTAGGAAAGGGTTGGCTAGTCTGGTGCTCTACAAACAGTAGCATCCGTTAATACAGCTCCCGAACTGTAGTTAGTGCTAATATGGTCAGATAAAGCCTTGCTCATGGTTATAACTGCTGAAGAAAAAAGGGAGCCTTGTCCACCCCACTGGCACAGGGTCACTCGGAAGAAGACTCCAGCATCGATGCTAAGGGGAGTCCCTTCATTCCCAAGCCACCATGTGCCACTGTTGGGGTGACACAAGCACTGCCCTGAGCTGCTGGGCTCAAACCCTGGAGAAGAAGCACCACATGCCTCTCATCCTCAGAAATCATACAGATCCAAAACACCATTTTCATTCAAGGATGCAGAGAAGGAAACTCACCACACAGCGCTCACCCCTTGCATGAGAGAGGAAGCCCAGGTCTAGTGAGCTCTGCCTTCTCCTTTAATTGATTTTAGGCATGAAGATGGTTTCCTGCTTCCATCAGCTTTTCCTGATATAGTAACTGATTTGCCTTCCAGCAGAAGGAATTCCGATTGAGAGGTAAAGCCATTGCTGGGCTTCCAAGGAAGTGTTAATTAGTCCCTCTTTGAGAAGTCTGGTTAAAGCAAATGAGCAGGTGTTGCTAGAAATTGGACATATTCTGTACAAACATGCTCATTCCTATGTGACAGCAGAGCTAATTACACCTATCCAGACCTCCATGGGTCACCACTCCATTTTATATAGTATCTCTCTGTCTAAAGTGTATTACTGCCTGGTACTCCAGATAAAACACTTCAGCACTTGGTGTCAGTGGTGAATTAACACCTTCCCTTATCATGGCTTGAGAAGAAGGATGTTGCTATCAATACCACTTACTCCAAGGACAGGGAAAACATATCTCCCTTTGGGCATGTGAGGCACTGTGCAGAGTACCCTGCCTTGTGCCACGCTGAACTGTCACCAGCAAGCTTTGATCTTGCTTGGTGTCAGCATCAGAAGGGTTTATGGATGTTTACGTGCTATGTCGCGCTTCCATGGCCTGTGAGCAAAGCTTTGCAACCTCCTGGAAAACATAAATGTCCCCTGGGGGAAGGTGGTGATTGACATCCTGAAAGGGACAATGCTGTGGCAGCAATGGAAGTAACCACAAAGGTAATTATGGTTTAAGCAAGATGCCTTGTGTGTAGACTTTCACCAGCCCAATGGTCTCATTGCATCAGATTGATCTCAGGCCAGTGTGAAGTGTCTGTGCACATCTGCAAAGCTGGAATCAAGAAGAGTGGGAAGTGATTGCTCGGCACAAGCCAGCACAGGAGAAAAGCAGCCAGCTGCGGGTTGGTTTGAATGGGAAGAATTTCCTAAGCACCCTCCCAAAACAGAGGTATCCCTGCATTACTTAGCAAGTGTCACGCAATCTCAGCTCTTGTTTGCACCGCATCCATAGGAAAAGAGAGGGGCCCAATGCAGACTGTGTGGACAGAGACACCTGTGAGTTACTACATGACCTGGGAGACATGCACGACCCCCTGAGCCCTGGTTTGCTGCTGCAAAAGGACGCATGGATGTGTGGTAAAGCCTGGGAAGCAATTGCTGTTGGACAAAGGGAACACAACAACCATGACTATGGTGAGAAGCTGTGGCTGCCCCATCCCTGGCAGTGTTCAAGGCCAGGTTGGACAGGGCTTGGAGCAACCTGGTCTAGTGGAAGGTGTTCTTGCCCATGGCAAGGGGTTGGAGCTGGATGGGATTTAAGGTCCCTTCGAACTCAAACCAGTCTGGGATTCTATGCAAGTCCTTTCTCTGAGGGCAAAACCTGTCCAGTGCCCACTGCTGAGCCACCTCTCTAGCAGCAGTGTAGTCACTTACGGGCATGTTTGCAGCCAGTCCTAAAGAACAAGCAGCAAAGCTGAGAGCCTCCTGGATGGCAGCACAGCCATGGGACGGGGAGCAGGGCAACCCCAGCCAAAGCTAAGCAGAAGGGGTGTGCTCCTCATCAGCACAGCTGCCCCTGCAGTTGTTCCCAGCTCTTCCCTGTCCCAGCAGCTGAGCACGGCCCAGCTGGATACAGAGGGAAGAGGGAGACAAAACCCCTCTGTAAAGCTGATTCCAGACATACCGCCCTGCACACAGCCCCTGCCAAGAGGGCCCGTTAGGGTTCAACTCATCAGAGCTGGGATCAGAGCTCATCAGAGCTGTTTTCCTCCCCTGCCCCCTGTTAACAGTTTCAGAGGTCTAGGGGGAACATGCGTTACTGCCTGCAGAAGATGCTGATCAGGATGATGTCCCTCACCCAGACTCATGCTCAGATTTTCCTAAAGCCACTGCTGACTCCTGACTCTGCATCCACTTGGAGCTATCAACTTGCATATCAGGACTGACATGACTCTGAAGTTATAACATCTGATTACTTGGTCTGCTAACATGCACAAGGCAGAACGATGGTGATGTTCCCATTCCTGAAATGAGGAGCAGAGATATGGAAGTAGTAAAACATTTCCCCACTAAAGTCTGTCAGAGCAGGGGCGAATGCTCCACTGCTGCTTCGCTGTCCCTTTTCAGTCAGGGATGTGCCTGTACTTGATCCCACAGAGGTGGGATGCAAGTGTCTTAGCATGACAGCAGAAACGTGTCACTCTCTCAGATGGCCTGTCGTGCCCTAGAGACGTGCCCTTCCCTCAGTTTCCTCTTCTTTCAGTGTCAGTATGTATGCATAGTTTGATCTTTTCTTGTAGACCACATTCCTAGTATGATGTTTGCCTTTCTTATACCAGTACAATGCTGACTCATATAAAATCGAAGTACAAGTATTATGCAAGAGGCTTCAAAATGTCCTACCTGAGACATATGAACTGGCTCCAGTCTGAAGGCGGCTGCAATTCAGGCCTCTCCCAGCCATGACACTGGCTTTACAAATAAATCTTGTGGGTTAAACCAAGAACGTACCTCGGATACACCTTCAGGTTTCTGCACCACCTAGGACAAAGATGCTAAGGCTTTTGTTTAAGTGAAACCTGAGATTCATCATTCAAATGATGTCTGAAGATGCGGTTTTAAGTGAGTACACGCATTTCATAGGGCTTCTAATAATCTGCCTCCACTGGCAGGTACTTTAAAGACCAATGCAAGAAGCAGTCACCACTCAAGACTGACTCTAGCCCTGAGGCCCTACTTATCCATAGGTAGCTTACTGGTTCTTACAACAGTGAAGAAACCTGGCCGGCAGCAGCCAGGGCTCTGTGCTGCTGCACAGCGTGACTCTGGGCATCCTGCCTTTGTATCATGGGACAGGGGTGGTGAACATAGATCTGAATTAGTTCATCTCAAGAGATGAAGGACACAGTACAGACTCAGCAAAGCTAACATGAAGAGCAGTTTCAGGCAAGTTCATGGAGTAACTGCTGCTGGTGTACGTGTGCATGACACTGGGTGAAGTTACCTGTTTACCAGCTCCTCCTGCCACTTCATCCTCCATCAGCTCCTGTTTGCTGCATGGCCATGGGATCTGCTGGTGCCCATACAGGAGCCAGAAGTTTAGCTCAGTGAGGGAGAAGATCAAGGACCAAACCCACTGCCTGTTATGACGGCAGAGGCAAACAGAATCAAAGCACACCTTCCCTTGCTCTGATGCTGCCATCCAGCTGAGGAGAAACATGCGTTCTCTTGCAAACAAAACCTCTTTCCTTTGCCATCGCTGATGCTGCTTCAGTTTGCAAAGAAAGACTGCTAATGTGCTCACCCATTGACAGAGTGGACACGAAGGACAGCTTACAGCACCTACTGTACTCTCAGCTCAGAGCTGGAAAACAATATTCATTGCATCTACTGTGCAGGGCTTGGCCAGTACAGCCACATCCAGAAGTATCCAGCAAGAAAAAGACAAAGCTATTAAAAACACTCACACGCAAGTCAGGAAACATCTTATTATAGATCTTGGTTTGAAGAAGGGAAATTAAAAACCTATACCCACACTCAGCATATGCCCAGCTATATTTGTCTGCTCCATTTATCATCTTAGACAATGCAATTTCAGTGTTGCACCACTCCGGTCTTTTACACTAAAAAAAAACCCCAAACAAGCCAACACACAAGATGCCATCACTGGTTTACAGCTGTGGCCTATCCTTTTTCCCTGAGCATTTGCTGATTTGGCATCAGCACAATACTGAGGGGGTTGGGATCTGACTGGAAGATGTGGATAACAGTAAAACAAGCTCTTCCTGTATTTATAGCAGCACTCTGTCGGAAGCACAGCAGTTTGTTCATGTGCTGGTGGAGAAGGCATCACTCTGAAAGGGCTCCTTCACTAAAGATGTGCCTCGTGCACGCATTTCTCAGGCTGCAGAATGGAAAATAAAAGCTCTGGCAATGACAAACCATGCATGCAAAGTTAAATATGCAATGGAAAACATTACAGAGGGGTTAGCTATTGCTCCCATAGTGCAAAGACTGGAAATAGATGCTGCAAGTGCTTTATGAAGAAGTAGGAAGCTTGGCACTGGATTAAAGGAGCATGGATAGAGTCATGGGTAAGAATGGAAGAAACCCAGACATGTGGTAGGCTGAGATTGTCCAAAGCCAACTGCAGGTGTAGCCAGGCCACAATCACCCGTGAGCCTGCTTGCTTCCATAGGAAAGGTGCCACGGGATGTTCCGTGGTGTTTCAGGGAGGCTGTGCTGTAGCCATGCCCCCGGAGCAGGTTTGTACCATCTCCTGTTGCGCAAAATGAATGCCAAAACATCACAACTTCATCATGACCTGGAAGAGGCAAAACGGTTTGGGTGGCTGCTCCTGCCTTCTGGATGCAGCAGTCTTGTACAGGGCTCTGCAACACTCACTTTTATTAATAGCCTGGATGTCCTGCGCATTTTTCCTCCTGGTTCTCACGAGTTATTTTCACTGCACAGCTTCCCATGATCACTCAATTTTGGGAGCTGATTAGACCAACTGGTGGGATAAGTCCCCACAGATAAAAAAACCAACAGCAAAATGAACCCACACCCAGAGAATCAAGAGTGTTTCTATAAAAAGTTAGGAACATGTGCATGGCATTGTGGATATAAACAAGACTCAGCACGTATCTGCCTTTCCACTGCTGAGAAAAGAGCATTTGGCTATGCAGAGCTTTTAAATAAAGATGCTGCTGGTTGTGCATCACGTGCCACTTGTGATGGTACCTGGCCCTTGGCTAGCCCCCCTCCTGCAAGCACTGAGGGGAGGGTAAGGAAGGGAAGGCAAGGGTAAGGGGATTCTATTTCCATGCTAGCTCTGTTCTCCTGTTTGCAGTGAAGTGCTAGGGATGAGATTAGGCCGTGACTTGCCTTTGCATGAAAATCTGTCCTCTTTTAATACTTTGCACATCTTAGGAAAGACTATTGTGTATGGACAGAGAGTGCTGAAAGGGTGGGGAAAAGCCTTGGGGGTAAATGGCTTCACTTTATTCCTACAGCCTGTCTATGCAGAGATGGCAGGTTGCACAGCTACAGCAGCGATGTTAAACACCAGCAGCAACACCTTGGTCCTGTAAAAGTCAACAGCAAATCCTCCTTGGATCCTGGAAATAGCAAATTGTGCATCATTAGAGAAAAAAGTACAGGAGTCAGTGCTCACTAAGAGCTTCCAAAGGCCTCTGGGGTTTGTTTGCTCTGGCAATGAGGTATCAAGGGAGCTTATAGAATGGATTTAAGCAACTTCAGCAGGCCTTGGACAAAACAGAGGTCTTCATGAAGATTCAACACAGAGTGGAGGAGGGTACAGCACACATATACTGAGCTCAGCGGAGGTACAAACCTACTCAGACACCCTAATCTTGCACACACAGAGGTAGGGCCAGATTTTACAAATGCATGCACCTGTGCTTGTCTATGCAGACAAGTTGCCATATCCGCTAAAATACAAAAGCCACCCTAAAGAGGATGGATCATACACATCTCAGGGGGATGCACATGCCTTGTTGTTCGTAGCAGCCCACACTGACAGACAAGTTCTTTAGCCTAGGCTATGAAGTGGAGCGCTCGGAAGTGTGCTCCTCAATTCCCTGTGTAGGTAGTACCCCATAATCATCAACTCCATGACTGCAGACTATTTCCCCCTCCCACATTTAGTTCCCGTTCTGGATCACGATCACTCACTGAAAGAGCGCTCAGGATTTCATCTGACGCCCCTCCACTTGCCTTTTTGCTGTACCACACTCCGGCTCTGCTCTCAGGACGGGTCTATTAATATGCTCAGGAATGTTTTGTTTGATCTTTGTGCATTAACAGGGC